CTCTAACATATTAAACATTAGGCCTATCACTTTTACGTTACTTAACTTCACACCAATAATATTCTCTTTCCTTTCGTCGTGTGTAATACAGTGTCTGCCGCTTCCCGCTCGTCTCACGCTATTTATATCTTTATTACATAGTCGTCTGGCCACTTTTTATATTCTCGACACCAATTAAGTTATTAACAAAACCTTCTACAATCTTCTCGTTTTAACTATTATTATAACAAATTTTAAAAATAATAAAGGATTCAGTCACAAATATAAATTAATCACTAATATTTAAACCAAACAGTCTTTTATATTATATTATGTGAAGTTTAATTTTTATGTAAATTTAAAACAATAGGTAACTTCCTGAGAAGTCGTATCTAATACTTTAAATAACGTAACAATATTTCTTTCATTGCTATCAGGAATTTTAAAGAAAGACTTTACATAGACTTAACAGTTACTAAAAATCAGCGTGAAAAGTTTACAGTTATTTAATACTTTAAGTTTGAAAATAATCAGAACAAACCATCTGGCATTTAAAATTATTTTAAAATATTTGTCTATTTTGTTGATGAACAAGGTTAATATTTAAACAGTTTTTTTATTTTATAAGAAATTTCCTCTCAACTTTATTGTAAAATCATACCTTACACTGATCGAAGGTTTCTATTTAATTACAAATAAAATACAGTAGATGCTAAATGAAAATCATGAGAAACTGAAAGAAATTTTAAGGGTTTTCATTTTACGTGGATTACTTATAACGTGTGCATTAATTAGATTCAATAACAAAAAATGTATTTCATCAACTTTGTTTTCGAGCTCATGTGTGCATGTTTTTCGTTGTTTTTTAATGAAAATATTACTTATCTTAGGATATGAAAGTAAAGTGTACAATAAAAACTTCAAATGCTTCTACAGAAAGAAAAAATAAAACATTGGGTCTTAAGTTAGCAAATACCTATTTTATTTCCAACCATATTCGGTCTATTGCAACACATCAAATGAACTTAAGTACCTGAAAATCTTGTGCCTTTAGAGCAACCGGTTGCATCTCGTGAGTTAGTTTAGGCCTAAAGTAAACAGAAAGTAGTCTTAAAATTAGAGCAGAAATAAATATCTACATTATGGATTAAACATTAAGATGAACATTTTGACTAAATAAAAACATTCTGATATTATTCTCTCATTAGTTATATCTTCTGACTGCATAGTATAACTGAACGTTTCTAGAATATTAGCAATGCGTTTCAAATTTCGTAGGTAGCGAAAATTATGTCATAGACTTTTAAAAGAACATTTAGCTCTAGTGTTAAAGGTTTCAAGAAAATTCATCGTGAAATCACTCCAAATCTGAAATATAATCCAAAGGATATGTGTCACAGAGAAGTCTAAATTATCTTATTCATTCTTATACTTGTCCATAAAACATACCACAAGGAAAGTAATACTATATTTCTATGCACAAGTTTATATTTAGCTATCAAATCATGTCTTGCAAAATGTTCGATGTTTCACAATAGTTTTTGATTTCACGATAAGTTTAATAGAATACTTTTAATAACTTGCTATACTTGTTCGGTTTCAATATCATGTATATCTTGAATTTAAAGATTTCAAAAATATCAATATATATCGTAAACTATCGTCTTCACAAAGACAAAACAGTGGATCGTTGACAGAAGCAGTCAAACTACATGATGGCACTCTAAGTAAAATTAAAATAAGACCGAATTTTCTCATCTCCGGAAAGAGTAGACAACATTTCAAGAATTATTAAACATTCATAAATATTTATGAGCAGGATGAGTTAGAGAAACAATTAAGATAAGTCACTTTACAAAATATAATACAAATAAACCGTCAAACTTTTGCAATACGTTCGTTAGGCAGAAAGCAAAGTCCAATTAAAACAGGATTACTACGATAAAACAAAAACAAAAAAAAACGTTTTTAATCTTCGGACGTTTCAGACGTTATACATTACATAATCAGTGATCTAAAACCTTTTCATATAAAGCATATATTTAGTATATAACAACAAACAGCACAAATTTTAATTTGACGAAAATAATTTATACAAAATATACAAAGGGGAAAAAATAAGTGAATTTTAGAATAGACCATTCCAAGTTTTTACTTGTTGTTAAACAAATGTTTAAACAACTCTGTTTATTGAATTTTAGAACTGTTAGAAATACAATTAAGTAAAATAAATGTATCACAGCAAAGACATCTGAAAGGAACTGAGGCCATTATTTAGAACTGAATGCTCGTTTGAGATACATAGACTTTCTTTGACTAGAATCTCGTGCTTTAAAGAACCTGATGTCAGTCTTTTATAGTTAGTTATCGGTAGATAAATTTATTAATTTGGCAGAGTGGGCGACCGGTGGAACACCTGGACTTAGGAGTGGTTTATATGTTTTGCTTGAAACTCGTATATGTTCATAAGCAAGTATTTTCAATTAGCATTTTGTTTTGCTAATACAGGTGGCTTTACAGTCACCAAAAATGTATTTGTAGACGACCCATGAACGTAGAGGAATAGGCAGAACGACTTCAGTTTTAAAGAATTTACGAATACGGAAAGAAGATCTGACAATCAACTGTACTTTTATTCGAGGGTAAAATTCTTTTGTAATATGCTGAATTTATTTGCTAACAATAAAACTCTGTTTTCCCAAGAAAGGAACGGCAAGAATTAATGAAAATTTTGAAGCGGTGCATGAATTTTTAGTCTGCGCTATGTTGTTTGAAACAAAATTACGTGTTATTCTTCTAAACAACTATAACCGATAACCATTATTTTTCAGGATGTTGTGTAAAAATTTCAGAGAATCAATGTGTAGTTGGAACAAATGGTGTAAACTGTGTTAAAGTTAATTACAAGATTACATTTGAATGAATTTGGTACAAAGCTGTCGACGTTTTTTTTTTTATCATTTTGATAGACGGATGTTGTAAATTAGTTATTTAAACAGTTAACTTCAACATCTATAAATTACAATTCATTTTTAGTCTCAATTTCATAGTTGAATTTATACGATCATCCTGAAAATTAATTATATATTCTTTGTTGCGAAAAAGTAGAAAGTGTGTTAATGGTTTAGATTCCGCTGGCCACTTGTCTTGCCACAACCGCTCATAATAACAAAGAAATAGGTTTACAAGGATGGTCCTAGAGGGGAGCACATTGATACGCCCTCTATTTGTTCATAAAGGTGACATTTGAAAAATAAAATTATTGCGTTTGAAGGCAGATTCAAGTTGTTGTTCACGTTGTTTCCGGTTGAACCAGGGTGTAGGTCATTGTTTCCAGAAAATCGTTTATTAAGGGAAATATTAGTAGTTTTTTCGAGCGGAATGTTTGTAAAAAAAGATTCAATATCAAGTCACCTATATTGGAAAAACAATATACCAATTAAAAATACGTGCCTATGAAGAAGTAGGAGTTTCAAGCAGAACCGGTAAAACGTATCTAAGTGCATGTATTTTTCCCCATTTGCAGGTACCGTCAAATTAATAAATTTATCAACTGATAACTTCAAAACACTGACATCGGGATCTTCAGATTTCGAGCTTTTAGTCAAATAAAGCCTATGTGTCTCAATAGGACATTTAAGTCTAAATAATAACCTCAGTTCTTTTAAGTTCTCTTTCTTTTGATATATATTCACTTTATTAAATTGTCTTCCTAACCTTTTTAACACTTACTTATTTCTTCCATTATTTATATTTTGTATACATTTTTCTCCATGTCAAAATTTGTACTGTTTGTAAGAAAAAAGAAGAACTATCGTAAATATGTAAAGGTTTTTAATCAAATTTCTTCGTTCCATAGATACTTTTTGTAAACAGTCAATAATATCGTTGTTTAATTTTATTGTTGTTCTCGCTTCACGTGATTAAAACATTATCTTAATCTTGTATTCTCTAATGTGTCAATTATCGTTATTTTTTCTTGCCTAATGATCAACTAAGTAGAAGGTTGAAACGTTGCATGGCCATTTTTATATATATACGTGTGTATTTCTCTGTAATAAACATTTCACGAGTTTATTGTTTTATCCATTTCTGCCGAGCGAAGCGATCCAAAGCTGAGTATAAAAGGCGTTCTTCACGTATGCGCTATACATATTGAGCCATACCGGTGCAGTATGAATTCAATATCAAAGAAAACTTTTTGTCTCTCTGTCTGTGGATGCATCTCCTCCTAAATGAGTTGATCGATCCAGACCAAACTTGGCATACTAGCTTTTTACTCCAAGACCAGACCAAACTTGGCATACTAGCTTTGTACTCCAAGAGCAAACCAAACTTGGCATACTAGCTTTGTACTCCAAGAGCAAACTAAATTCTTGTCAAACTTTTCCATACATTGAAAAATAAAACTATTTTATATCCCGTATATCGTTACTGCAGTAGATATTGTAAATAGTTGAGTTTGAATAAAACTCACCACAATAAAATTATACAAGTCAAAGATTGTAAATCAGATTTTCAGCATTTTGGCTTGTTTCCCATAACAACCAAAATATACAGAAAAAAGTATCCAATTACAATATGGAGAATAAAAATATTGCTGCTGTTTAAGTTTCTCGCTCTTTTCTAACTCACCCAATTTAACTTTTGGTTTATACTAGAGTTAGAATTAGCGCTTAAGCCTGAATTATAGAAGTATTTCACAATTAAAATATTTATAGGATATTTCTTTCTTCTTTATGTAAAATATAGTTTTCCGTAAAAGCAAAACTCAAGATTGTTGTTAAATTTAATGCATTAAATGTACCAAACTAAAACAGTAAAAATCTTAACTACATCTCTACTGTGAAATGGGCTGCTTTGAACAAGAAGTGACTCAACTGCTTTGCCATTTCTGTCAAGTTTCTTTACTTGACTGCTACACCTTTTCACTTCGATCCACTTCCTTGGTCTTATAACAATTTTCTTGGAAAATAAACGCTACTGAAAATCCTCGTAGTGATTTTGCTCATAATCAGCAAACTTGTACGTGTTTTTCGCGTTTTCAAATGAAAAAAAGGTGGAGAAGTGCAGCCTCAAAAACTTTTAAGGTACGATGTTTAAAATGCGTTACAAGAACTTCAAAAAGAAAGCCATTATGGACTGTTCACCTTTATTTGTAGACTTTCACGAGATCTGTCGGTTTTTCACCAAGGCCAGAGCTGGGTATGCAATTTGCTCCTCAACAAAGTTAGTCCAATTGTACATCTACTTAATATATATATATGTGTGTGTGTGTGTGTGTGTGCGTACACTATACATGTATATTGTATGAAAACATTTTGGATCGCTGATTATGAAACGTGTAAATTCCGAAACGTTCTAAAATTAAATATGTAATTTTTGTTTTGTTTTTACCGTGGTGATCCTCTTTTTAACTCTTAAACTTGGTAGGAACCACTAATCTTCGAACTGGAGTGATTACAATGTAAATATAAGGCCACTATGACAATTACTAACCTTCTGAAAACCACTTTAGTGAGGAAAGCGGAAAGAAAAGAACGAACATTAAAACCATAAACTACCTTTTTGACAAACCTTGTTGGAGTAACGATAAGGATCATAGAATAATTATTATCTTTATAACTAACATTGATGGGACGATAGAATATATATATATAAACATTAAGACAATTATTAACATGTTGACAATCACTGGTATGGCAATGAATTAAATATAATAACATTAGATTATTTATTGACCTTTAGATGACCATTGAAGTAGTATGCGATAAATTTATAAACATTAGAATATTTAACCTTTTGACGACCACTGGAGTGGTGATGGAGTATGGCGCCGTATCCACAACTAATTCTTCCAATACTTTTGCCTGGTTGTCTTCGTCACCGCTTGAGTTCATATAGATCAAATTATCACTTACTTTCCGTGTCAGTGTGTGTGTTGAGCCTGAAAGTTAACCACAAGAACAAATAATTCACACTGACGTTAAAACTTATATCTCTTATGGAAGAACAAACATTTCACTCTGACGTCAAAACTTACATCCGTTATGGAAGAAAAGGAATGTAGTACAATAAGCTAAAAATTAAATAATTATAATTATAACAGCAGAAAGATACCATATTCTAGGTGTTCCGAGCCTTTCAAGGAAGCCTTTTCTTCATCATCAGACAAAGGGCGATGTTTTCCTAATCTCATCATACTTGCTAGACTTTTCATTGTAGCAGGAAGAGATCTAGCGAAAGGGCGAATAAATTACTGAAATAATAATTGTTTTGTCTTTTTTATATGTTTTTCACTTAAGATCAAAATATGTTTTATTTTCTTAGAAAATAGAAAAGATTACTTTGTACACAATGATCAATGGAATTTTTTAAACTGTAACTGGATAATCATGAGTGTAAGTTTGTCATCATAAATGTTATATTAATTTAGGCCTTGTTTTAATCTCATGCGTTAGCTTAATCTCCTTAGATGTTATAGGAATCACAGCAATAATACATTTTACAGCTAGAGAATCTAACTTAATCTAATCTACTCATTTTATATATTTATTGTATAACAGATTTATATCGTAAATTGTACTTTCACTGATACATTAATGTGAGTTTTCAACTCTTCTGATTAATTGAAATTTGTAACTACTGCTACTTATACAGGTGTTTTCAACACGTATTATTTTCTGTTGGTTTTCATTTATTCATCATTCCTATTTCAAGAAGAAAATATAAATATTTATATCATTATATAGGAAATTATTGGGTTTATTGGGCATTTGATGGAGATTTTTCGTAACCTTGTCTGATATTTTTTGCAACACATTTTATTATTGTCACTTCTAATTCAAGTTTTGATTTTGTAATAAAGCTTTTACTAAATGTTAGTAGTAATATTGATAGTAATAATGATACAAGTCAGGCATTAAAATGAAATAATGGATTTGAAACACACAAAGAAAATAGCTACCTAATTTCAAAAATTGACATAATTTGATGTTTGAAAACATGTTTGTGATTAAGCTGAAAATGTTCAACGGATTTCATCATCAGCCTGAGCATACGTGAAGATGTGTTCATCTATTGGCGTAGATCGTCATCACGTTTATGGCTTTAATGATGACTTGAATTAGTATATCGAAACTTTGTCTCCAAGTAAACTCTAACAAGTGGATGAAGACCGCTGAATCTCCCAAGATGAATTTAGTTTTCCTTTTGCTGCTACGAAATACCTTGTTTTAAATTATAGCGCATAATATTATGAAATATCAGTTTATTCTAAAGTTATAACATTTTCATGAAGAAACCTCACTGTATGAAAAACCGTACGTTGCTAGGGGCATATGCTACATCGTTACACAATGAATGATATGAATATAGATATGTTGTTCTACATATCTTTGTACCGTTTTCTCTCCGGAGATTTTGGGGGAAGTAAACTGGCAAGCGATCCCTGGTGAGAACCCACTCCTAACTCAGCTCGTTGACTAATGCTGCGTTCGAGATTAGCAATATTCTCTTCAATGTCGATGAGTGCTTGCCTGTCGTCATCAAAGCTTCCATATTGGAAACCACTGCTCTTCCGGTTGCCCACAGAGCCATCTGGTGCCGTGTAACTCACTTCAAATGTTATGTCGATCTTATGGAATAACGTACAACTTTAATTTCTTATGCCAATTTTAATTACTGTGTACAACTAAAATGTTTTAATCTCAGGAGGCTTAATCTTCTTACTTAATAAAATGTGTATTGCATACTTTTACATAAATTTGTTATTCATACCATTAGCAACTTAATTTAATGCTAATATAGGGATGTTAGTAGTTAGCTTTAAACCTGTTTATGATCTTTATTTATAATAATATTTTAGATGCACAGTTTCGATGTAAAATATTATTCTCAAATCTTATATTTTTTTAAACAAATGATGCAACTGAGATTTAACCATAAATATAAACCTATAACTCAAAATTCAATACAACTCAAAAGCATACTTTTAATTAGAGGTGGCTCTCTGGTCGAATAAAATAATTTTAAACTATTCAATCAGCTTACGAGGCTAAAATTCGGATTTTGCTACCTGTGGTGGGCAGAACCTAAATAGCCCAGTGTGTAAGCTTTGTGCTTAAAAATATCCAAATCAACTTTCAATCTTAGTTTACAACAAAATGGTATATGATTGTTTTATTGTAAATTAATATTGGACGTATAAAGTAACAATTTAGAATTAGTTTACTTGGTCAGAAAGTGCCTCATGCTATACATTTCCTGGTCTAGTGATACAAGAAATTTGTTAGCTGTATTATTCCATTTCTATACTTCAGACAAAGTACTTTACGCCACTAGATGGCGTAGTCAACTTACCCCAATTGGCATATTGTTGATGTCTAACAACATATCTGTGAGGGTCAGGTGTCCGTCTTCTATTAACTGTTGAAGAACAAGTCCGTAACATCCAGTTACTCTGTAAAATAGTGTTAGAACCTTTATTTTTGTGTTGTAAGGTAATAGGCTTTATTTTAACATAATAACTGCTTTATTCGCTATTAAAAATTCTATTTTCTATTTTTTCCTGGTGGTACATTTTAAAAGTTATGAACAGACTGCCTAAATCGACAAACAAGAACTGTTTTAACAGCAGTGCTGCTTCGCTTGATCCGAAGTTTTTACTTTAGAAATTTTTGTTTAACGAAAAACTTACGTAGATCAATATTTTGTTACAATCTTTTAAAGAGTAAGTTTCCAGTAAATATTCGCCAATATCCAGTATAAATGATCTATCAAAATGACTCAAAACTTGCCGGTTACGTACTTGTTGGTGAAATATTTGTTGTAATTGAGTAATTGAATTTCCAAAACTTCGTGACTTTCAACAGCTCTGGCTACAGGCCATTCAAACACCTGTAATGTGATAAAAAATAACTGTTTTACATAAAGAAGCATAACGAGCCTTAATTATGAAACTAATTTTAGTATGTGCTGTCATTCTTTACTAAAATTTTTCTTGATGTTTCAAATTATACCATCAAAATATTTCTCATGATTATTTTTTATATAAAACATCCATGCGTTTTTGAAAGTATCATATCTCCTGTTTAAAATAAATGTAGACGTATATTATCATTATGTTGTAAATAATCTATAAGTTTGTTATCTAGATTCAATTTTAATATTTTTTTAGCCATACAATTAAGTTTATTAATATCAAAGCAAAACGTTCAGAAGTTTTTATAATCTGGAAACATAAAAGTTATTATTTAATCGCAGAGAGGCTTTTTTGAAAAACAAATATAAAGTACTAGGCATTCTAATATTTTATTGAAGATTTTCATACTTCTTTCACTTCAATATATTTTTTTTTCAATATTAGTAAACTTAGTTATATCTACATCATTTTTCAAAACTAATAAGACTGGGATTAAATTGTTCGCTTTTCAAGTTTCATTGGGTGTAAAATGAGTCCATTTAAATGTGAAAAAACATTATGACTGCAGTTTCAACATTAATGATCTGTGTCGAAGCACAGGAACAAAAATAATGCATTAATGATCAACAAATTAGTAATAAAACTTGTTTCAAATTCTAATCATGAAATTCTTAGTTATTATCTTACACTTAGAAAATGAGTTTTGTTTCATACGTTTTTCAAATGAAGGCATCCTGAGAAAGTTTTAAGTACGATATGATATCAAAGAATACTCTGAGAAAGTTTCAGGTAAGATATGATATTAAAGAATACCCTGAGAAAGTGTCAGGTAATATATGATATTAAATAATACCCTGAGAAAGTTTCAGGTAAGATATTATATTAAAGAATACCCTGAGCAAGTTTCAGATAAGATATGTTATTAAAGAATACTCTGAGAAAGTTTCAGGTAATATATGATATTAAATAATACCCTGAGAAAGTTTCAGGTAAGATATGATATTAAATAATACCCTGAGAAAGTTTCAGGTAAGATATGATATTAAAGAATACTCTGAGAAAGTTTCATGTAATATATGATATTAAATAATACCATGAGAAAGTTTCCGATAATATATGATATTAAATAATACCATGAGAAAGTTTCAGGTAAGATATGATACTAACTAATACCATGAGAAAGTTTCCGATAATATATGATATTAAATAATACCCTGAGAAAGTTTCAGGTAAGATATGATATTAACTAATACCCCGAGAAAGTTTCAGGTAAGATATGATATTAAAGAATACCCTGAGCAAGTTTCAGATAAGATATGTTATTAAAGAATACTGCTGCGTTAAGAAATAAAAATATTCTTACATACCTCGTCAAATATTGCGATGTCATCTGAGTTTTCTACAACCTTTGTATAGCGGGAAACTCCTGAAAAAAAATGGTATATTAGTAGTTTTTGTTAATATGAAACTTACCCGCATGTAAGGAAACTACTTCAAAACTTCTAAACAATCCTAAAAAAATGTTTCTGTAATTATCTAAACATAAACTTTATAATACATGAACTGTGATTTTGAAATAAAACAAAGCTTGATAATCAAGTCATTTTATATATTAGGGAAAATCAAATTTGTTTTTACCTTTTTTTTATACATGAATACAAAACAAATAGAAATATTTATATTTACTCGTGAATATTAATCATAACAGCGCTCTCTGGTAGTAGAGGTACTTTCGTAAATTTACATTTGTTTAGATCTATATTTGAAAGTTTACAGCCAAATGCTGCAAACATCTCCGTGGAATAGAAAGGAGCTGCTAAAAGTAGAACAGTCTATCTAAATTTTAAGCATTCCAATGCTGAATTCAATACTTTGAAATTGAAAAAATAAGATTCCTTTTCTTCATTCGATTTTTGAGAATGACACTATTTTAATTTCTGAAAATATATTTTTCCCCAAACTTTGTATTTAATTATTTCAGTGTCTATCAAAGAGTGTAAAACAAAATAATTTAGGTCTCCAGTGGCTCAGCGATAAGTCCTAAGGCTTATAACTCTAAAACCGTGTTTCGACACCAGTGGCGGGCACAGGTAGCCCATTGTGTAGCTTTGTGCTTAACTACACACACAATCAAACAAATTAAATGATTTTAAAATTGTTTGATTTCTACATTATCCCAAAGGTATGAGAAACGAAAACTAAATCAGAAAAAAGAGTGTGTGTAATAAAATTAATTCCAAATCGCTGATGACTTAGTCCTGAAGTACAATGATTACGTGACTATGGTGATCTCTAAGGTATATAAAGTAATTTAAATGGCGTGAGTCATCAAGGAATATCAAATAAAATCATTTTAGAATTGTGTGATTATAATGGTTATTTAAAGTAATTAGAACTGTCTGACTTAATCTTATTTTTAAAATTGCAGGACTTATCTAACGACTCACACCTCCAACTGTAACTATTGAAAGTGTTATCATAATTGTTTAAGTTTTGTTTTCTGAAGAAAAATAATATACAGAAGAATCTTAGGACTAAAAGTCAGCTCTTTCACGCCAAGCTTGTGGGCTTATAACTAACTTTAAATTTCGGGTTTTGATCCGTGTGGTGGGCCAGCTCAGGTAGCCCACTGTGCAACTTTGTGTTTAACACCAAAACAATGTTTACTGGCTGGGTGGGGACTGGTGGTTAGCTCATCTGGTCTAGTAATCAGTAGATTCATGGGTGACATACAGTAGATGCGTTAAAATATGTGACGGCAAAATCACACTATTCATTCAAATAAGACTAGCCCAAGAGTGATTGTTGTCGTCCAGTTGATATTTTAGTCGATCAGCTCATAATCATAGATGGCTATTAGCAGGTAACCCTACATGTAGCCTTGCACAAAAAATAACGAAACAAACAAACAAACAAAATCTTTCTCGAAAGAATAAAATATTAGGAACTGTAACTGGTAAATATATATTTATATATGTGTGGGTATACAGTATTTGCATTATTATTATTATATCGTGATGATTATGAAAATCTCAAGCGGCGACAAGAAAGACTGAGATAGAATTTGTCATGCGATGTAAAATATACTTATTTCATTTTCTTCGAAAACAGCTTTTATTCTCTAGTGGAAGAAAAAATTCAAATGCCCCAATTTACACAGAACACACGTGCTATTCAAATGTTGGTGCTTAAGTTTATTCTATTTACGAACGTAATAACAGTTTTACATTTCCTTATTTTTATATTTTTGCGTTTTATGATCGTGATATATGTCAGTGCCCATCACAACATATTTGATGATCTTTTACTCTTAAAATATTTTTGCTTCTCCTGTTATCATTTTTTATTCAGTTCAATGTGTTCCACAATAATTTCAAGTACAGCTGAGATTGACGTTAAGGGTTAGTTGATCAGAGCTTAGTGAGAAACAGATGTCTCATACATTAAATAGATATGAATTATAGATATTATAAAAATATGTAATTAGCTGCCTTTAGAATTTGTATTAAATTTTGTTCTCTACTTGTAATAACTACGTTCTTTGCTCCTGTATCAAGAGTACTTTCATTTAATAAGGGTCTTCTTTATTTCTTATAAAGCTTTCAATATGCTTTGGGTCTGATGTTTAAAATTATATGATCGTAGTGCATCGGTGTATATATATATATATATATACACTGAGTGGTCACAAGTAAAT